CATTTTTTTTCAATGAAGTTAATGCCATTCCCATGTGCTGCTACTGTGCGAGTGACATTAACTCTGGTAAAAGAAACTTGCTGCCGTATAAATGTTTATATATAATGCACATGGGCGTTATTTGAAAAATCAGGTTTATCAAAAAATCGAAACTTGTTTCAAAATAACGCCCATGCGCGTACTCTAATTAACGCGCATATACTCAAAATAACGCGCAGGTGGGCGTTATTACGCGAAAATACGGTATATATTTGGTAAAGTATTTACCACATCGTCTTTAGTAGCATTGACGGTATTAGGAACAAATTGATTTTTATTATCTTCCCCAACGTTAATTACAATAGTTGTTGCAATAACAGTTATCATAAGATTGGCAAGAATTATAAATAAAACAGTGGCGCGAGACATAATTAAGGTATATTTATATGTCAAGTCCAATATGTATATTTTAGTTGAATTAAGAAACAAGAGTACGTACTACACGTTTGTCTGATTAATGGTGATAAAATTATTTATACTATATATATATTAAATATAAGATTTAACTTACTAAGTACTGAAAAAATCATTCATCTGTAGAGTTTTAACTTTAAATAAAATTGTTATCTATAACTTTTTTATATAAAATTTATATAATGAGTTGGCATTATAGCCTCATTAGAATAGAATTTAATTTGTGACTTGCCGATTTTTTTTGGCAGTATCCGGTTGTTTTTTACTATAAAAATATTTTCAAGTAAATCTGTTATGTGCTTCTAATACTTCTAATAAAGGTTATATAAATAGCTTGTCTGATTTTAATAGTAATAAATTGATTCAATAAATTGTAAAATATAAATATTGCAGAGAAAATTATAACGATGGTTGCAAAGCTTAATTATACATTTATATAATTTTTGAGTTAATTTTATTATTTGTATTAGAATAAAAGTTTATTTAATAAAAAAAAAAACTATAATAACAAGTATTCTTTCTATTAATATATAATATAAAGACCTTCACTAAAACGAACCTATGGTATTTTATACCTATAAATATATTATCTCAACAACTGGCAAATTAATCGGTGTGGAGTGTTCTAAGTAAAAATGTTCTACGCCCCAAAAACCCTTTCCAAATCTTAATTCTAACTCTAAATACTAACCCTAACATGAAGTTTTTGTGATAAAAATTTTATATGACATTTAGAAAAATAATAAAAACATAGAACAGGTGTAAAACACCATAGATGCGTTTTATATTAACTGTAATATAAAAATTCTTTTTAAAAGCATGTTTACTTTAAATCTAACTATTATAATACTATATAAAAATTATTAATAATTATATCTTTTTATAAATATTTTTTAAAAAAAGTATTAGGAATAATTGTAAAGGTTTGACTATAATTATTTTTTATACAATTCTATAGTTTGTTAGTAAATTTGCTAAAAATATAGTGCTAGTTAAAAGTACTTTTTTTTATAATTTTTTAAAATAAAAAAATTATATTTTTAAAATTTTTTTAATAAATATTATTAAATCATTATAAAAAAATTCTAGATATTTTTAACTAGAAATGTTTAGCTTATATATTTTTGGTATAAAACTATATTTAATTATATATAACTTTAAGTAAAGTTAAAATTATATAAGG